TTTGGAGCCTTAGTGGGAGCTGATTTTGCATTAATGCGGTGATACATTAGGGCAATCGAGAGATCCAGAGGATCAAAATATGGTTTCGCCGCTAAGACCATTGTCCAGACTGTTTATGACAGTTTTGTCTCCTTCGTTAAATGAATATTGCAATGTACTAACCACCTGATTTACACAGATTTAACAGCCAGCTACTCTCTGAGTTCTGGTACATGAGGAACCTTCACGACTCAAAAACAAGAGTACTCCCATGCAGAAGATCAGTGACACTGCAATTAATCAATACCCTAATGAATCCTCCTGTCAAAGAGTGTCGTATCCTGCCTCTTGCAGGCGTTGCGTAACAGTTCTCTCACTGATGCACGCTATAGATATTGGGGTGCTAAAGGCAGAAAGAAGCGTCTTCCTGCATAGTGTAATAAATACTGAATAATGAAGTACCCATAAAAAGACTATCATTACCACTCCAGCAAATGAACTTTACTGTTTGATTTTCAAAATGAGCAACAATGAGGTAGCTATTAAAAATCGAAATTGTTGTTGAAAAATCAAACCGTTGCCGTTGAAATTGAGGCGGCACCTGATACGCATAATAAACAGGAACGATGCGGGACTTATACTCTTTGCACGCCCAAATTGGAAAATTAAAGTATCAGTCTGCAAGAGAAGGCACGTCCTTACTAAGAGCAAAAAGCTGTTTAAAGTTATTGATTAATCTTCTTTAAAGTTACTCCAAAATTACCTTTTTTGATAACTTAATTAATATGTGTATTCATCACTATTCAAAATGATTTGAATATTTTATCAGCTCTTGTATAAAAAACAGTGAATTTACACAAAATAAACGCAATCATTTGTTAGGGAGCAGAAAGTATAAACAGAAGAAACGAAAGAAATCTTAATGATCCATTTCACTCATAGTATCAGTTAAAACATAGAAATGTGGTAAGCTTTAATTAGGCAGAACTTTAGAGCAGGTATCACAGAAAATTTTTAGACCACTTGAGACAACAAAACTTTAAATGTATGGTTCAGACTATCTAACTCTTTTACTTCCAATTAAAATCTAATTCACGAGCGAAACATTTGGGAAGGTTTATTTTGAGGGTTTTTCAATAATAACTATTTCATTGCGCAAAGGATCGTGTGCACGATATACAGTTTTATACCACGATTCTAGACTTATGCGATCGAAGATGCGTACACGTCATTCTCCCCTGTTCATTCCCTCATATCACGTCTCCGAAGAAATCTGAATCTTCATCTAGTCTAATCCCCTGTCGTAACATGCTACTCAGAAGGTAGCTCAGATGGTGAGCCCAGGCACGCAATCGAAGAAAAGTGAGACCCAGTCCTCTTCTAATCAGATCACTCGCTTTTCCTTTTACTGAGGCATACAATTTGGAGGCTACGTAGCTACTTCGTGTTAATCATGAAGCTCTACACTACAGATCCGTAATTGCAGGTGTTGCCTTAAACCATTGGCATTCCTAGTAGACGGTATGGTAATAAAGATTAGTGCTGCACCATATGTAATACGAAAGTGTCTGAAGCTATATGTATAGTGCTTCTGATTGAAATGCATGGGGGACTGACACTCTAATGATTTTTATGTGCTGACATTTTTGTAGACATCGTGAAAAAGAATTTGCTAAATTTCTTCAGGAAAAAGCTTTCCGCCTTTGCTTAGATTTTTCATTATAGCTTACAGTACTTGAATGCAGAAATTTATCACGTCTTTTTTTTTTACTTCAGTACCAGATCATTTTGGAATTAATGACAAGCTTACATAGTTACGTTAACAACTAGCAACATTGTAGTTCACTTTTGTTAACCCTGACATGTGCTACATTACTTTAGCAGATGTCCGCACTCCATGAAGCGAAGTACCTACATGGCTTTCTAGCGAGCATAATGATATATGCACGCAGCTTCTGTGACGCATTATATCGTTGCATAAAATACTTTAATTTAAATAGAAACATGCTATTAATTCTTATTAGCAGCATGGGTATGTCTGCTGCTTAGTCGGTGTTCACGCTTTATTGATCAATTTTAACAGAAATTATTACTTGTAGGTCACCATAAACAGAAGACAAAGCGTATGCGCACCACCTTCACCGAAGACCAATTGCAAATACTTCAGGCAAATTTTCATATCGACAGTAATCCGGATGGTCAAGATCTTGAAAGAATCGCGCATATTACTGGCCTCACTAAAAGAGTCACTCAGGTTTGGTTCCAGGTATGAACCTCAAGGTTTCAGTACGTAAATAATTTTTCGCTCACCAAGTTCGTTCGACTATCCCGAAATCTAATTAATCAAAATTTCTGTGGATCTGCCAAAATAATCAATTATCTATCAAAATGAAAAGTTCTCAGATGTGCATGGATTGAAATTTAAGTCGTTGCCTTTCGATCATAAAGTTCTAGACAATATATCTCACCGCGTATTTATTAAATAAAATAGTTGACTTTTGTTTTGCACCATTTCCAATGACTTAAATGCAATGTTTTATCATTAAAGAATTAGTAGTACATGTTTAACAGCTATGGTTAACTATAGATATCGTGAAGAGGAAGGCTCTTAATTTCTTAACTTATATTTCGTTTTATGACCTCATCACTAGCATGCAACATGTGTGAAGTCTACTCGTACATATGTGAAATACCGTTTGCTCAGTAGCCTATTTTAATCATGATTTCGTAAGTTGTAAATATAGTAAAGGAGAACAGTAAGGAATTGGCTGCTTTCAATAACTTCTAAAGTAGACAAAATTAATAGTACAGAGTAAGAGAAATAAAGCAGTCCTATCAAAAACAATGAGACAACAGAGCCAGCAAACAGCAGTTCCATGCTTTGTGGCATGTGTTCGAACGCGGGTCTTCCCACTGAACGGCAACCAATTATTTTTATTATCATGTCTTTAATTTGTGACTGGCACCAACATGGCATTCTTGAATGATCGCTGAACTCTGCATCTGTTGGTCTGAACGCAAAGCAGCGTGCAATAATTCGCTGCAGTTATAATGTTTTCAACAACTGTAGAGCTGTACGGTACGTCAGGATCATTTTAGTCAAATTAGAAAATAACGATTAGGACATTTCGTCACTTCAATCGCGCATTTGCTATCTTAGGATCTGTCTGGCTGAATATCCTTTCCTTAAGGAAACTCCTAATTGTCTAATTTATTATTACTACAACTAGCCAAGGGTTACAAAAAAAACTCGCTGAAGCGAGTGCACAGTATGAAGGTAGCTCTGTATAAGTGGCTGCCTACACAGAAAGTCGCTAATACCTGAAAATCTCGCTTTCCATTCGAAATCGTTCCGTCATTAGTCTGCTTTTTTTGACGACTACATCTTTTTCAGAATTCGCGCGCGCGGCAAAAGAAGTATCAGGGAATAAAGATCAAGCAGTCAATCAGGCTGAATTCGCAACCAGGACAATCTTCGTCGCACGACTCGTTCGACGGAGATTCCAGTCCTGATCCTCTCAGCGAGTCGTTAACTGCTTCTGTGAACGGCTCTTCTCCAGAAACCTACGTCGAAATGCGGTGCATGATCGATAGTTCAAATTCAGAATGCAAAGCACACATGCCATTGGCTTTCAGCTTGACCGAGAGGTCCTGCGAGAATACGTCGCGATGATTCATTGCCATATGATTTGCCAATATTTGTTCATTTTGATTTTGAGAATTTTTTTGTCGATTTGCGCATATTTCCGTGATCAACACTTTGGCAGTTATCGATATGTAATATCGTTTGCTTTGTCCCGAATTCTGTTGCAAACCGACGACGATTGCTCATAATTAAAAATTACAAGCATTTAAAATCCATTTGCTCAAGTCCAGCAATACAAGCTTTAGGCACTCCATGTGTTTTACATGCATAACGCCTTGAATCGAATTATAATGGCGTATAAATTTTCCATTCTAAGTACTGATTTTCTTAAGCAATGAATTTTACCGCCTATGCTCCACTCAGAGAAGTTGGAATATTTGCAAAAGGTTAATAGGTTCCAACAGTAACGCATAAGAGTCATGAAGTGTAACGGGTTCTTTGGGTGAAAAATGATAGCAATTTCGCAATTTAAGTAGTAATCTGGGTGCTTGTTGACTTTAAGGATAAAACTGTATGATTTAAGTAGCTTACTTCTGTACATGGTTTCAAGCCGTAACGGCTTGTTTGATCTCAAGATAGAAAAGTTTTTTTTCCGGCCTCAATTCTGAATATTTCATCTACCAAACACTCTTTACCATTCGTGACGTTCCATCCAGTACGTCATATTTCGCGAGGCACGTTTGATCGTTTCTTATAAGTGCTTTGCTGGACAAACATCCAGGGCCATGAGCATAGTTGAGCACAAAAACTGATCATTATCCGTAAAGACGCAGAAATTAGGCGCTGACAGCGTATGCGCTTTCGAAAGGCCTCAAAAATTGCACGTTGGTCAGATACAACACAATGATGAAAGTAAACATACGGAGCAAAATTAACCTATTTCGTTCAGGTTGCAGGCCGTGACTAATGTTGACTGCCGTGTCCCTCACCTCACTCTGGACTTGAAAGCTTTAGGGCAAGAATAGTACAAGAACAAATGAATGCAGTATCCAGAAATGGCTTGGTTTGACGCCGTATGACCTCTCAACAAACTTGAGCAATACACTTCCATGCGATGCAATATTTCGAACTACTCTTAGAAAGCGAACGGAACAAAAGTAAAATCATAAATTGAAAATCTTGCGTTGTTCGCTCGACTGATATGTTTTCCAGTACAAATATAAAGTTAATATAAGAACCAGCTATGTCGGTCAGTCTGTTTTGATGGCTGCTCATTCTTTCGGGTCGCGGGAGGCAGACGCATCAGACAGTGTCTCCAACTTTTCCTATCCTACGTCAGCATTTGAGATTCGGCAGAAGACAACCGGAGTCTACTACAGACTACTTCAACATACTTGCCCCACGGTAATCTTGGCAGTCCCCTGCTTCTTCTGCAGGTCTGCTGGGCAAGTAGTAGTAGCCTCGCGATCCTTTCTGGAGGCATTCGCAACATGGCCAATGGCGATTCGGCGCGAGAGCTTTCGGAGCCGATTGATAGTCGCTACCAACATGCACTCCTGTGCAGTTCTATATTTGGACAGTGGTCATCTCAACCAACTGTAATGTCTAAACCCAGCAAGTTATATATCTGTGAGAAGCTCTCCGTGAACACGATGTGAAACTTCTGCCAAGCTAATGAATTTCTAAGATTCTAAAATTTCGTCTACCATCTATCAGTATGTTTATTGTTTATATATTAATATCTCTGTGAATACAACACAAAATATGCAAAGGCCCAATTGTCAAATTGTTCAATTATTTTACAAAATTTAAATTTGTGAACATAAATTAGTTCAAAGTCAACTTTTCATGGAAGACAGTGAGCTCTGTACAAAGTAACTTTATTTCTGTAGCAAGATTTATTAAATTTATTAAACATCATTGCGCCATTTTACAGTTATGCGCTAAGCTATGAAGATGAGTAATAATATCACTATTATGATAGTCAGTCACAATGGATATTATCCTTTCGTCGACATCTTGATATTTCTTCAGCTTCACTGGATACTGGATATTATCCAGTTTTCGCAGGTAGAAAAATGGAGTCATAAAATAAACGCAAATTCTGAGAAATTCATTAGTTTGGCAAAAGTTTCACACTGTGCTCACGGACAGCTTCTCATACATATATAACTCGCTGGGTTAGATATTACAGTTAATCGAGATGACCAGAGTCCGATCATATTTAATCAAACGCGTTGGACGTTAATAACGACTATCGATCGGCGCCAAAACGGCTCGCGCCTAATCGTCCCATTCCGTTCGCAACACGTGCCGAAACACGTGCAGTTGAGACTTCCTAATCTGAAGAAACAGTGGCTGCACTCCAAGACTCTCGAATATCTGTAATTCTGAACATATCGAGAAGCGTGAGGCAGGCAATTTGTCTCAGAAAGCCCATTTCAGCCGCTTGCATCTGAAATCACAGTTTTTCAGTCATGACCAAAGATGCATGTCTGTAGACGAACATAGAGTTGAAAACCGACTTGCTTGAACACAGACAGTTTAATCTTCAGACTGCGCTCTGCTTCAGTCACAATTGTTCACGGAGAACGCTGTTGGCTATCTAAATTCGCCAGTCAATCTCTTCCTTCTACCTTTCATCACCAGCAAATATGATCCTGAATTATATGAACATCTCCACCTTTTCCAGATTCCTCCGCTTATCTGAAAAACAGCGGAAAGGACGGCGACCAGCTAGGCCAATGAAAACGAAATTTCTAAACCTTCAATGTGATTCTAGTCATTGTCTTATGATAAAAATAACAACTGCTAATTGTTCAACCGTTGTAAATAACCAAACATTTTAAATGCGTTTATGCCGAAGAAGAGAAAACGGTCGGTAACAAAAACGAGCCAGCAATGCACCGAATATGAAAGTATCTGCTCGAAGGGCAGTTTTCAAACGATCCGAAATCTGGCGCAAACAAAACATATTTTCAACCATCACTCCATTTTAGCGTCGTCTGACAATGCTTCCAAATACGCCTTTCTCTCAGTTTCATATTCAAATCTCAAAAC